TGTTTCGTGACGACGACGTGGACTAAGTTGATCGTTGGGTAACACGGATCACTGGACCGGATCACCGTGTGTCGAAAGGAAAATTACGCGCGTGCTGCTGTTGTTTTGTTACCCGGCATTGTGAACGATTTTGAATCGACTGGTTCGATACGGGAAAAGATACACGAGGGATAAAATAGAAACTGAGATCAAGTGGAGCACGACGTGTCAAGTGGTGCAACGTGTTTACGAACGTTGGTTCGAAAACGAGTGATACAATTTCGAGTAAATAAATAAAATTGCTGGGAAGAAGGAAGGAAGGAGAGGAGGATCTCGTATCTGGGAGGAGGATTTCGATCGATTGGAACGCGTCCTGAAGAATGAGCGTGTGCGAGAATCGCGGGTATGCACGAGGTGGTGGAGCAGGATCGGGAGTCGTGATGCGGGCAGGAAGTGTGTGCGGGAATCGATCGGGTGCAATCGTGTTACCGGTGGCAGAGATCGTCCGCGACACGATTCCACGGTGAAATCAGGATCCGTAACGAGGTTGCGGATGCGAGAACGGTAGCGGAAAGGCCACGGCAACGTGATTACGCGCCACGTGACCGTTGCTCGCCACCGGTCTGACGTTTCTTCTTTTTGTGCGTCATTTCTCAGCGCGTCTGCGCCTCAAACGATTCCTGTCGATCCTTCTCGTCCACGAGCTCGCACCAGTTCCCCGTCGTGTCATCTTCTTCTTTCTCCCTCGTATCGTAACGTCCTTCGAATCGGATCCCGCGCAATTTTCGAGCGGGCGATGCTAATCCCGAACGCGGATCAACATCGGCCCGTGTAATCGGCCGGAGGAGTTTAATTACACCGAGGGGCCGAGCGGTGTGTTATTAAACCGAGCGGGGGAAGATCGGCCGCAAGAATTCAGGTTTCCTGCGTCATCGATCAGTGGAGGGCCGCCGGTGGAAAGCCGGGAGACTTTAATGCCCGCAGAGAGACGCGCGCCGCGGGATCGTTTTACGTCTGGTTTCCAAGCTGCGCGCCTCACGCACACGTGAATCTTCGTGGCTCGTTCACTTCGAAGTCGATCGTTCCAAATCTTGCTCTGCTATCGAATTCGATACTTTCCCCTTTCCCTCTTTTTACTCTAAAAACTCTACCCGAGTAACTCTCTGCCCGAAGAAGAAGAATAAGAAGAACTGGTGATAAAAGCGGAAGAGAAAGAGAGAGAGAGAGAGAGAGAGGAAGGGAAGAAAAGGATGCTCGAATCGTTAGGTTCGAGTCGATAGTGATTCCACGTTCGAGCCAGCAGGTGTTCCTCGACGTTGGCTGCGCCGCTCGATCGGCCGACTGCTCGCCACCG